TCTGTCTATAGGAGTAGAAAACAGCAAGAGTCCAGTAGCACTGAAGAAATGAGCAGTGACACACAAAATCTCATATCCTGCCACAAATTTCGTTAGTCTTTAAGGTGCGGTGGCTCAAGTGGTTAAGACGCTGAACTGCAGGTTGTGGAAGGGCAGGAGGCAGTTCTTCAGAGCCAGTTTGGTGTAGTGGTTAGGAGTGTGGACTCTAATCTGGGAGAGCCAGGTTTGATTCCCCACTCCTCCACATGCAGCCACTGGTGTGACCTTGGGTCAGTTACAAGTTCTTTCGGAGCTGTTCTCTCAAGAGCAGTTCTGTCAAAGCTCTCTCAGCCCCGCCTACCTCACAAGGTGTCTGTTGTAGGGAGAGGAAGAGAAGGTAAGCTGCTCTGAGACTCTGAGTGAAGGGCAGGGTATAAATCCAACTCTTCTTCTTTCTTTACCATAACAAATAAAACAGTGTTTTCTTTCATGAGATGATGTGTACAGGATGGAACTGTGTGTGTTCATGCAACATACTGTGAGATGGTTAAAGAGAAGATGATGCGCGTGGAACCACCCTCCTGGCACTGTGTGTGCTGGAAACTGCAAGCGGTGGCAGTGGGGAGGGGAAAGAAGAGGTCCTTATTAACAGTAATTAAATCCCATCTTTCTCTCAACTCAAAACAGTTCAATGCATCATCAGCAACTGATGGCCTCTACTGGATAATGACAGTCCTCTTTCACAAGTACTGGGGGGGGGCAAACCCTTTCTTGCCCACAGACGGCCCCCCAGTTTTAAACAACTCCTAACCTACAATAGTACAACATCTAATTTGAACATGGGCACTGGTACCAGAACTTGCAATAAACCCAGAGGCCAACTTTGCTGCCACATGCCCAGACAGCACAATCACTGGACCCAACAACGTCAACTACACCATCTCAGGCACACTCCCTTGCTCATCTTCTAACATTAGATGGGCCTTTAAATGCCCTCCCCACAACAGACACCCTGTGTGAGATCGGTGGGGCTGAGAGAGCTCTCTCAAGAACTGCTCCTGAGAGAACAGCTCCGAGAGAAGTTGTGACTGACCCAAGGTCACACCAGCAGCTGCATGCGGAGGAGTGGGGAATCAAACCCGGTTCTCCCAGACTAGAGCCCGCGCTCCTAACCACTACACCAAACTGGCTTGAAATCATACAATAAAATCCCACTAACCCCCATCCCATTGCTCACAGCCTTGAACTGGATGGCCCTGGCTAGTCCAATCTTGTCAGATCTCAGAAGCTGAGCAGGTCAGCCCTGGTTAGTATTTGGATGGGAGACCTCCACAAGAAATACCAGGACCACTATGCAGAGGAACACAGTGGGAAACCACCTCTGAGCATCTCTTGCCTTGAAAACCCTATGGGGCGGGGTCAACCCTAAGTCACTTACCACACACGTCTCACAACACCCTTTAAAGCACACAAAGCTGCCTTATACCGGATCAGAACATTGGTCCATCAAGGCCAATATTGTCTCCTCAGATTGGCACTGGCTCTCCAGGGTCTGAGGTAGAGACCCACCACCTGTTTTAAGCTGGAGATGCCAGAGATTGAACCTGGGACCTTCTGCATGCCAAGCAGATGCTCTACCACTGAGCCAACGGCCCCTTCCTTCAACCCCCATTAAAAGCCCTAGCCAATAAAAACAGAGCACCTTCTGAAAACTTCTTAAGGATGGCACCCATCTCCCCTCCCCTCCTCGGGGAGCTCTTTCCACCAGTCAAGATCCACTCTGCCACTTGATCGCTGTTTGCGGCCAAACATCAGCATTCCCAGGACAGTGGAGGGTCTGAGCAGGAGCAAACCAGCTGGGGTGGTTTTTCACCCCGAGCTAGATGGTTTCACTGTTGACACTGCTAATGGTGGGGAAACAGTCACAGACACAGAGCCCTTGCTTTGGATACACACCCAAATTAAGTCAGTGAGAGGCATCTGGCCTTGGCTAGTACACCGATAATGTTTGCACGACAAGTGATCTGGACTGTAATTAAATGTTCCCGGTGCCTCTTCCCCTGCCTTTCAAGTGATGTTCAGCTCTTTACGTTTTCTAGACCTCAGGCCCATCAGTCTGTTGGAGGGGAATTTCTTCTTCTTTTTTTAAATGTACAGAGCATATTTTTCTGCATACCTGGGGTATTCTCCCTGCCCTCACTGCAGGACACAGTGACTCCTACCTTCTCTCCAGGTAGCCCAATATTGCTTCCTTACACCAGGAGTCCCCAACCTTTTTTTAAGATGGTGGACACCTTTGGAATTTAACCACAAAACAGCCAGCATGGGAGGCAAAGCAACACACACGGGGAAGAAGCCCAAGTCTAGAGACAAGAGTGGTAAGTTTTAAAAATACACTTGGGAGGAGGAGGAGGAGGAAGAAGAAGAAGAGGAGGAGGAGGAGGAGATTGGATTTATACCCCGCACTTCACTCAGAGTCTCAGAGTGGCTTACGAATTCCTTTCCCTTCCCCTCCCCACAACAGACACACTGTGAAGTAGGTGGGGCTGAGAGAGCTCTTTCGAGAACAGCTCTGACAGAACTGTGGCTTGCCCAAGGTCATCCAGCAGCTTCAAGAGAGGAGTGGGGAATCAAACCCGGTTCTCCCAGATTAGAGTCCGCGCACTTAACCACTACATCAAACTGGCCAGAAAGGACTAGTTGCAGTTAACACTAAGACAATGTTATTTTAATCTGCACAGCCAATCAGAAGTGCCGTTGAGCCAGAGCCCCACCTGGCCCCACCCACTTTCTAAAAACACTTGGCAGGCCCCAGGAGAGGTGTTATTGCCCCCATGGTGCCCACATTCCCTAGCCTTACGCTGTGCATTCCACCATCCCATTAGGAGTAATAATTAAATCAAGACAATAGCAATGATAACACATTACAGTCGTAATATTGCAGCTATATGTTATTTTAATGCTCCTACAGTTAAAATCATATTAAAATCATTTCCTTCTAAAAATATGCTGTCTTGAAATCCCTGGTGGAAGAAAAACAATAATGCAGGATTATTAAAAATCTTGAAAATTCTACATAAATTGAAGCAGGGCAGACGTAGTCCAATCTGAATTTAATAAAAAAAAATAGAGAGGCCCACCCCAAATCAAAAAGTTGCAACTGTTGAAATGTTATTTTAAAAAATCGGGAGTTCAATGCAGCCCATCGAAGAACAAAAATATGTCAGCGTAAAGCCCAACTAAACAATTCAACTTGAAATGACAAAGGCTAGAGAGAAGATGACATTATGGGACCCTTCCAAAGACAGAAGGAAACAGTCGATGTTCTCAACTCATCAGGAACTTAACTACATTTTTATGGCTACATGATACCCATCTTTCAGGAAGAGAAGGAGTGCAGAAGATGCACCAAAGTGGGAGATGGGACGTTTTACCCAAGACGGATTTTATGTCACAGAGCAAGAAAGTGTGAGACAGCCATGAGGCTGGTGCATGGGTTTGTGTGCAAGAAGGAGGAGCTTTGAGGAGATGAATTTTGGGGTTGTGGTGCATGTGACAAAGAGAGTGGGTGGGTAAACGTGGAGTGGTATGCAGAACTAGGGATTGGGTGCACAGGTTCCTATGCTGGGCGCTGTGAACAGTGGACCCCGTGGGAAGACCATCTTGTAGCTGTCTGAAAACTGAGACACCAGGGCTTCTAGAGGAAGCTCTCCTCCTGGACCCGATCTCAGGGAGATGCCAACCGACTTGGGAGCCCTACCTCTACATTCAGGACATGGAATTTTTGTCTCTTGAGCAGATTCCAAGGGGGGAAGGGGTCCCCTTTTCTCTCGAGTCCTTTCCACTCTATTTATAGCACTGTGAAGTACTGGACCTTGTGTCTACCATAACAAAACATCCCAAAATGGACCCGTCAAGAAACGTCAAGAATGCTAAAATGAGATGTAAAGAACATCAATGGGTTTTAAGGGAATTCAAGGCTACGTATGGGGGGCGGGGTGGACCAGAAAAATAACAGGGTAAGGGGAAAGGTAAGATGAAGGTGAGATCTCTGGCCAGTAAAATGGGGAGTGGCAACCGGACAAGGATATCCAACACCACCTAAAGAGAATGGAAATAAAGGGGGAAAATAAGAGGAAGGAGAAAGTGGACCGGAGGACTTAATGTGGGGAAGGGTGGGGAAGGTCACGTTAGACCCTAGGGAGCCACCAGGCAGCTAGACACTCCAATGCCTGGCTGCTCACTGCACTGTCCAGGTAGGTCCGGTTGCTAATTGATCCCCCGATTTCAAAAGTGAACAAGAACAGCAAGCAGAATGCAGGGTCAGAGCAGTTCCACAGCCAACGGCACACAAGGACTCGAGTCCTGGGCTCTACATCCACTGAGAACGTCTGGGCACATGCAGTGTTCACAGCAGTGGAACCCCACCACTAGGCCCCACTGCCAAGTAGATTCCCCTATATATTGAAGCACGGTAGGCTGCCTTCCACATGCTCCCATGCTCGACCCCAGAAGGCCTTTCTGATCCACACTTCATCGGATATTGCGCTGTAGCAATCCCTTGCAATTAAACTTTCCCGTGCGGACAAGACAATCCAGTCGGGGACGATTGTTGTACAGTTAATGACAGTGCAATATCCAATGAGGTGTGGGAGCAGCTCTAGTTTTCTTCCGTACCCAAAATCAGGGCCCAAGATGCAGTCATAGGCATGGGATGGAGGTCCGGGGAATTCCTGAAGACCATCTCCACCTTCTTACGCATGGCAACGGCATATGCAAGATACCCATCGATAGACATGAGCTGGAGAACGTCCGTTCCAGGAGTGCAGCAGAACACACTTGTCCACCAGCCAAGCTTTCTTCTTCGGTGATCAGCCCTCTTCTGGAAGGCCACCTGCCAGATGAAGCTGGGAAACCAGCCTCCATGTGGCGCAACCCAGCAACCTTGCAGACCCCAAAGACCTCGCTGTAGCCAACCCAATGGGTCAGCAGTTCCCAGAAGAACGAGGACCCGCCACTAGCTACAGCCCTAGCTCGAGATCCCGGTCCCTGCCAGTTGGTTCCACATCCATGAAATCCTTGATGATGCAAGGGATGGGGAGACTTGAGTGGAATACAGGAGTATTTCGGGGCTGAGAGGCACCAGCATGGCAGCTCCCAGGTTGGGGCTGGTGGGAATCGCAGCTCCGGGAAGAGAGATCGGAAGACTCCCCTGGAATGGTGACCCCATCTTGGTTATGGTGCTTAAGGCAGAAGGTGGCCTCAACACCATTCCCGGGTTCCAGGACAGCATCAACAATTGGGGCTTTCAGGGAAGAGGTTTTTGTTGGACATTCTGCCTCGCCACGGTCACAGGGTGTGGCAGCATCTCCAAGTGAACAAGAACTGGAGATGGCAGCCTCGGAGGCGCTGGGGGCCGACGTCCAGTGGAAGAGACCGAAGGACACGATGCAAGTGACGGCAACCACATCTATCATCAGCTCCAACACTTCCATCAGGGAAATGGCGGAAGAGCCGAACCAGAGGCCCCAGTGGGCTCCCAGCTGGGAAATGAGCATATTGACCTGCAGAAGAGAGGAACAGAGATTGCTGAAGGGTAGATGGCCCAGGCTAGCCAAGGAAGTCCAGGTTGCTATGCAGAGGCAGGCACTGGCTAAACCACCTCTGAATGTCTCTTGGTGTGAAAACTCAACAGCAGGGGTGTCAAACATGTGGCCCGGGGGCCAGATGAGGCCCCCCCGGAGGGCTTCTATCAGGCCCACAGTGGAACTGGCTGTCTTCTGCTTCTTTTTCCAGTTCTGCTGCTGCTGCGTCATCGTAGGTTTGCAGCTTACAGATACACACCTGAACAGCATACTCAAGATTGCAACAGCACAGACATTTTGATGCAATAATTCAGAGCAAGAGGTGTCAGTTATCAGACACTGTTAAATAAACAAAATGTTGCAAGAGTGCTAATGTTTTATGCATGTTTTTATTTTAAGTTAAAAAAAACACTTTGTGTCCTTTGTAAAATTTATATCTCTGCTACCTGGCATTACATTTTATGACACACATGGCCCGGCCCAACAAAGTCTCATTGATGTCAGATCCGGCCCTCATAACAAATGAGTTTGACACCCCTGCTCTACAGGGTTCTCATAAGTCGGCTGTGATTTGATGCCGTTTTCCACCACCACCACTGTTGCTCCAGGCC